GAGAAACTGAGCATCGTAAAGCATAATTTAATTCAGCATGCAGGTCAGTACAATGCCAAAAACATTTTGTGCCATGTGAAATGCTCACTCTTGCCAAACGTCTAGATCCCTCGCCTGTTGCGTTTGCCTTCCCCCCAAATCCACTGGCTTCCTGTCAGATCCAGGCGAGGTTTCTAGTCATGTGTTTCCAGGCTTTGATCACATGCAGGTGTGCCACTGGTGTTTTTCCTCTGCAGCTGGATTGCTTCCAGGAGCATCCAATGCCAGCAATGCATATTTTTGTCTGGGAGGCACTGAGACCGTTTCTTTATCACTAAGACGAGGGCTGAAAACTGAAGGAAGCTTCCAACTTTCTGGAGGTGTATTAAATCATGTTTTCTTTCTCAGGTATGTTTATAATCTCTACTTCATTAATTAATCTTGGCATGGCGAATTTCCTGCTTCATTGGCCAGAATTAATCCAGTATCCATTATCTCACACCAGGTCTATGTGGCCTGTGGGTGTCATCGGTCCTTCCGTTCATGTGGTATTTCCCAGCTGTTACAAACATCTGTTGGTGATGCTGTCCATGGTTTCTCCTATTTATTACTGTGATGTGTTCTCATTCTTCTCCCAGACACAGCATTGACCCGATGGAGCTGCTATTACACTGTCACACCCAGTGGATTTAAATTGCATAAACGGAGAGTACCAGATTGCTTTCCATATGAACCCTGCCTTTTTGGGGGGGGGGGGGGAATCCATATAAACTCTGCAAATTGCAAAATTAAGTTAATCAACCAGAAGGAGTAGGCATGAATGAGTCATCTGATATTGAGCCTGGATATCAAGCTACAAAAAGACAACCTTAAAAATGATAGGATGTTGTCCTGGCACAAAAGCGTTACCCCAACTGCTTTAGCATTATTCCCCACAATCACTGCTTCTAAAATGTTGCTCCTTTCGTGTTGCAGCATCAATGTATCAGAAATGCTTTGTCAACTTAATAATGCTTTCTTTGTTCAATGTGGGAACCCCACAGTGGCCTCCTAAGGCCATCCTGGTCCCCAGATGCAGCCTGCCACATAACAATGGCATTGTGCATGTCACTACACAGTCACAGTACAGTAAAGCATATGACAACATATAACAACAGTGCAGAACACTGTAGAAAAGCTGGGGCAGATTATGAATTCATCTAGCAAAGAGTTGCAATATTGCATTCTACTAAACCAGGGTTTCTCAAACTTGGCACCTTTATTCGTATGGACTTAAACTCTCCAGTCAGCAATTCTGGGAATTAAAATCCTCACAATTTTGAGAAACCATGGTGCTAAACTGTTGTTAGTTCCACATGGTCCCTGCCACCATTCACTCCTTAGTATCGCTTGAAAATGGCAGCGCTTATTAATTTTGGATGCTTCCCATCTACAGCCTTTTAATTGCTTATTATACATTGCTCTGCAGAAAACTTGAATAAAATTACTTAAATTTAGCCAGATCTAGTTGAATCTTCTGCCTTTCATTTTAAAAGATCTGGCTTAAGTCCACCTTCCTGCCATTTTTTTTCTTCTCCTTAGATTCCTACTGTTCTGTCCCCCCCACTTCCTCGCTCGTTAACAGACGACAGGCAGACAAACTTAAAAGGAACTCACTTTATCAGTCTTCGGCTCTGACTGGCTGCGAGCCCAAAAATAAACATAAATAAAGTCTCTGACAAG